ATTCTGGGAGTTTTAGTGCGTTGTTAATTATGCTAGGCCTTGCTTAGCATGAGCACTATCTCACAGAACCCATGTTGACTTCCCCTGGGCATGATCTCCCCTGCTGGCCCCTGACAGATGTGATCCTTGATAATTTTCTCAAGGATTTTCCTCAAGACTGATGTGAGGCTTATGGGCCTATAGTTTCCTGGGTCCTCCTTTCTTATAAATGGGGACCACATTAGCTAGTTTCCAACCTCCGGGCACCTGGCCTATGGACCACGATTGCTCGTACAGCCAGGCTAAGGGCACAACAATGACCTCCACCAGCTCCCTCAACACCTGTGGGTGGAGGGCATCAGGGCCCACAGATTTAAAAACATCCAGCTTTTCCAGAAGATCCTTGACTACTTTTGCGCAGACCTGAGGCCTGACAGTGCTATCCCCAAGACTGCCCCTACCGGTGGTGGGGGAGCTGTCCTGGTCCCTGTCCAAGAAAACAGAGGCAAAGAACTTGTTAAAAATTCCGGCTTTCTTTTCTGGCGTAGCCACAAGATTACCATTTGAGTCTAACAGGGGCCCTACATCAGCCGGTGCCCTCTTCTTACTCCCAGTGTATTTGAAGAAGGACTTTTCGTTGTCCTTAATTCTGTTTGCTAGCCTGAGCTCCACCCCTGCCTTGGCCTTCCTAATGGCCCTCCTACACTCACAAGCCAAGGAGGAGTATTCCTCCTTGGTGATAGCCCCTCTCTTCCACCGGCATGAGGCATGAATTCAAGCCTCCCTCTAGCCTTGTGCCAAAGGTTTTCTTCAGTCAGTCTAGCTTTAAATGAGTACTAGTCCTCCTGGCTGGGGTGTCTGCTGGAGCGATGCTAATCACATCACTCTCTTGCGAACCATTGCCTGCAGAGACTGGTGTGGCTTGATTGTGCATCTGGTGGTGAGCTGCTGAGCTTGGGTAGGTCTGGCTTTTCGACCTTCAGTAACAGTTGGCTGATAGAAATAGCTGTTAATGTCTCTATCTGTTGTCTGTAATTAGTATGTTTTTGTTGGTGAACCAGTTACAATTGAACAGAAGACAAAAAGTGTTCAATTGTAAGTGTATAGACTTGTCACATGTATGTGAGATGATTAGTGTTGAGGCTTCTGCCTAATGAATGATAAAATAAATTACCAGAGACTAGTATGGCAGGGCTCAGAAAAGTCACGTTGCCAATGTGGCAAGTAGTGCATGTAGCCACCATATTGGAATCCAAGATGGCTGCCGTAAATTCAGATTTTGGTCAATATTTCAGCCTTCAGTAGGGCTGGAAAATTAATTTTAATGATGAAACCAACATTGTATGAACTGAGGAGATCAATTGTAACATTTCCATCATGATAGCCATATTGGATTCTAAGATGGCTGACATATTAGCATGTATGTAGTCACACAATGTAATTAAAAGAACTAGTAAACCATACTCTTAATATGCAAATCTCACAGATTCCATCACTACAAATTTCATAGCAGGCCAACAGTACAGAAAACATTAACTCAAGCTAGCCTACTTGTTTGAGCTTTATATTGAATTAGACAATACTAATTTAAGAATGTGGATAAGTTAGATATTAACAATACATAATTCAATAATGAAACACATGGGCATATGTTTGGCTTAAGACAGTAGGAAAATGTAATAGTTTAATTCCGTCGTAATACAATGGCATATGTAGCATTAACACAACAGGTAATTGCAGTTTTTCAGATCTCTTCATCACTCGACTCCCACTTGCACGAGCATGCGGGTCCCTGGCATTCTGTGTTGCACTTGCAACTTGTTATTGGAAGGTATTCTGCTGCTAATAGTACAAGTGTGTTTATGATAGGAACATAACCAACATTTTCAGCTTGCCAAGCATACTGGTTAGGTGATGTCAGTGATGGATTAGGTTCAAGCGCACTTTGCCAAAGGAGACTTTGATAATTGGTTCTATGTACATGGTGCTCAAGGAAGTGCAGGGGGATGGACCCAATGATCTGTAAGGTCCCTTCCAGCCCCAAAC